TTTTTTTAAAAAGCAGTCTGAGATTTTTGTGTGGTAGTTCAGCAAAAATGTGTTCTTTTTAATGGAAGTATTCCTGAGTTAGAAGCCCTGTGGGGCTGCTCACCAGCTGTTGCAGGGGGAAGATGAGGCTGCCTGCTCCCCTACAAGCGGACAGTATGGGAAACTAGCAACCACTCTACTCTGCCCCACAAAGTCACTCGGAGTGGCAGTCAACTGACGGCAGTGGGTGGGCCGAGTTGGTTACAACCAAAGCACTTTCCGTCAGGCCAGCTCACGCGGATCAATATGCCCACGAGCTAAAACTCTCCGCTAGCTTATTGAATCTTCTCATCAACCCGCTCAGAGCTGCCATTACTACTCAATTACAGTGTCTCAGTTACAAAATCACAACATCATCTGCAGGTCTTCATGGCTGCGGTGTTTTTCATGGTGGCAGCTGTGTCAAAGGCTCTGGTGTTTCAGCTACAATGTTATAGTAATTCATTTGTGAGACTATCAACTTTCCCGAGAATGCGATAGTCATTCAGGAAAAGGGGAAAAACATCAAAAAAGGCTTTCACTCAGTTACTAAAAGCTCTTTAACTAAAACCGTTACTAACAATGTTGTCATTCAATGTGCATTTCTCAACTGTGATGTTAGTGTTCATGTCTTCTTCATCTTACATCTAAGCGGTTTGCAACTTGTTGCGTATTATCCCATAAAACCCAGTGCCACTGAGTCCATTCTTACCCGTGGCGACCCCAGAGGCCGGGGTAGAACTGTCCCCTGTGGATCTCTACAACTCTAAGTCTTTGTCAGAGCAGACTGCTTCATCTTTCCCCCGTGGAACGGCGGCTGGTTTCAAACGTAGCAGCCCAACGCATGGCCCACAGCACCAGCAGAGCTCCGTGGAGACCCTGTAGCGCCGTCCTGCTCTCTCCCACAGGTCGCTCCAAGCTGGAACCAACTGGAACCAGCAATGGCTTGGCCTGGTTTTGGAGTTGCACAAAGGCATCCCACTGTGTGGATCTTAAAAAAATAGTGACATGGTGAAGAATGGGAATCCCAGAACACTCGATGGTTTCATGAGGAACCTGAGCATAGATCAAGAGGCCAGTTGACTGCAACCCTGGGCTGGTTTCATTCAAAAGAACAAAGGCTGTGTGTCCAGGAGAGTCTAAGAACGCCGGAACTGCCAAGGGGAGGATGCTCCAGGGTAGGCGAAGGCTTTGCCTTCAGGCCGATTTCAACTCATAGCAACCCTATGGGGCATCGCAGAACTGCATCATGGAGGTCCCAAGGCTGTAATCTTTATGGAAGCAGCCAGCCCATTCTCGCTTGCAGTGCTTGGTGAGTTGGGACCACCTTTTGGCCAGCTGCCATGCACTTCGACCACCGCACCACCAAGGTTCCTGACCCACACGCAAGAGGGAGCACATAATGCTAGAGTGCCCTGGTGGCGGAATAGTTAACTCGGGGTGCTGCTAACCCCAAGGTCAGCAGTTGGAAACAACCGGGCCCTCCATGGGCGGAAGTGGGTCTTTCTACTCCCTTAAAGAGTCTTGGAACCCCACAGGGCAGTTCTACCCTGTCCCAGAGGAGCACCAGTGTGGCGGCATGGACTCGATGCCAGCGGTTTTCTTAAAGCAACCGAGCATACCGACTTAGCTGCTTTACTTTTTATGTACGCATTCACACTAAATTTTCAATAAACTTTGCACCTAGACATATAGGAGACCTAAAGAAGGGTTTAAACGTCTGCTGGATTCAGAGTTCCACTGCTGAGAGGA